GAATTTCCGAAAATGTTCAAGGGCAAAATAGTCATTTTTGGGACATGGAAGGAATTTTCGAAAATGTCTAAGGGCAAAATAGTCATTTTGGGACATGGAAGGAATTTTCGAAAATGTCCAAGGGTAAAATAGTCATTTAGGGACATACATGGAATTTTAAAAAAAAGATTTAGGGTAAAATAGTAATTTAATGATTTCGAAATAATTTCGGAAAAAAAAAATATATATATATATATATATATAATAGAATGAAAGTAGCAGTTTTAAAGAATCAGCAGTGTGTTGGGATATGTGTGGGTCAGACTGAGCTTGAGGGCTGATGCCTAGAATCAGTTATGAGACGTTATATATTGGCTAGACTGAGCCGGAGGGTTGGTACCCAGAATCAGTCAAATACTATTATTTATTGATCCAAATGAACTGTGAGGACAGGTGATCCAGAATTCGGCATATGTGAATGATTTTTGTTGTGTTTGAATGGTACCTGGGGTGGTACAGAGTACATTAGTGTAATAACTATGTCGGAGGATTCTGAATGAGGTCCTAGACTTCACTAATTGGTCGGGTCAGGTAGACTACGAGATCAGGTGGTGAGAAGTCAATAGGGGATGTAGGGATGGCAAAACGGGCTAGACCCGACGGGGCGGGTTGGTGTTTTCAGCCCACCAGCCCGCTTTGGCCCGCCCCGCCAAGCCCGCCAACCTGTCGGGCCAACCGCGGGATCGGAGCGAGCCGACTGCGGCCGCCTAATTAATAAAAAAATAATTTTTTATTATAATAAAATTAATTATAAAGATAATATATAAAGTTAAAAATTTTAAAAAGAGAATTAAAAAAGTTTCATTCTTACATAAAATATTCTCTTTCCTAAAATATAACATTTTCTCATGTTCTCCTTGTTTATCCTAAGTACTCGATTATTTTTATCCTTATTACTTGAATTAAAGGTGTAAGAATTACTCAACCAAGAATAATATGAAGTTTTATCAAATAAAAAAGATATAGTTATTTGAATTTTTCAATATAAAAAATATAAATTTTATAAGTTAATGTTATTTATATATATATATATATATATATATATTTGTTATTATTTATTATTATGTAAATTTTATTATTGTTCTAAATTATAATTTCTTAAAATAATGTATTTATTTATATTATTAAATTGAAATTATATATATATATATATATTAAATTATTAACAAACAAATAATAATTTTATTATTAAATTTATTAAAAAAATTATTTAAAAAAAATATTTTTTCTAAATTATGGCGGGCCAGCCACTAACTCGCCCTTGGCGGGCGGGCCAAGGTCTACGACCGTCATGACTATATCGGGTCAGCCGCCCGCCACGTTTTTAGCGGGCCAAAGGTGGGGCGGGCCAAAACGGGGCGCGCTGGCCCGTTTTGCCATCCCTAGAGGGATGGTTGGTGGCGCGCTAGGAGGGATACTCCAGTATGAGTGATGAAGGGCGCCAGTAATCCTACTCTGTGTGGAGGGTGGATCAGAACGGTATTGTGGGTGCCGATCACAATGTGCCCACAGATGATAGCCTCTGAGTTCGGGCATAGTTAGAGTATACTTCCAGAAGGTGTCTTAATGTGTTGATGATTTTGTAATTGATCATAATATATAATTATTACTTCTATATCTATTTTATTATATTGAATTATTTAATACTTACCCCTATTTTTCCATGTGGATGAGACTGCGATTATCACTTTTATGTGGGAGCATATCAGGAGTTGAGAGGTGGAGATGTGACTACTGGACAACATTGATAGTTTAGTGGGATAACTTTGTGAGAGCTACTTTTACATGTATAATATATAAATAAATTATGTTACTATGTTTTGAGGTTCTGTTAATGAACCAAAATTTTAGTCTATATTACAATTACAGTAATATAATGTAAGATAGATGTCGTTATTTACTTGTTTACTATTTTGCGAAGACATCATTATAGTAACGATTTCTAGGATCATTACAAATTAAACTTCCCCTTACCTGGTGTGGTATTTTTACCGAAGTTTTCCCACTTAATTCAAGTTCTCTCCCGTTTCACCAGATCTTGCACGAGTAGAGTCTCGTTACTTGAAATTTAGACAAAAGAAGAAGAAAGATGAGAGGGAGAACTACTTATTGATGCCTTCTTCCTCTTTTTGTACCCGCATATATAAAAGAAAAATTTTAGTGAGGAAAACTTCATTACGAAGTTTTCTTACACAGTAATATTATTATAATATATAAAAAAAAATATACATCACAATATTCAATAAAAAAACATCTAAAAATAGGGTACTCTACTAAAAACTAGAGTGAATATATATATATATATATATATATATATATATATATATATATATATATATATATATTGGATAGATTCGCTTGAAATAAAAATATAAAGTGAATAGTGGTTATATACAGGAAAATGAATACAAAAAATATTGAGCTTCTTTTATATAAAAAAATTTAAAAATGACATTATTCTTCATGAGTTTCAGAAAAAAATATTTTGTTTTATTTTTAAATTATAAATAAGAAGTAAAAATATAAAAGAGAGCAATAATTAAAAAATAAATATCTCTTCAAAATAAATATATATACAAAATTTTACAATTGTAAAATAATTTAATTTTAATCTATTAATTTATTATTTTCAAAAATTACATTTTTTATAAATTTTTAATTTTTGTATACTTTTTACTTAATTGTATTAATTGTTTGCATTTTCTTTCTATAAAATTTGTACATAATTTTAATTGATTAATTGTTATAATTAGTCATGATATCATACCGTCAAAATTATTTTTACAAAATAACATAAATTACGGGTTTATATATAAATTATAATTACGTGTTTGAAATAGATTATATTTAGTTTCTTTACTCATAAATATTTGAATTAATTTTCAATGATTTTGCTATTGATTTTTAAAAAATAACATAAATTACGGGTTTATATATAAATTATGATTACGTGTTTGAAATAGATTATGTTTAGTTTCTTCACTCATAAATATTTGAATTAATTTTCAATTATTTTGTTATTTTATGTTCTCTTGTAATTAAAAAATATATAAAAAATATTCTTGTATTATGTACTTTTAGTTTTTAAAGGATACCAAACATATATCATACTAACACTTATTTTATTGTTATTAATGAGAAAAAAATTAATAATTAAGATGATTTTAAAAATTTATCTAAATTGGTTCATGTTTGTTCACATACCAAAGTCCAAAGTGTGACACTTAAATCTCAAGAAAAGTATATGTATATGATAAAGATAAATTCAAAAAAATAATGCCTAGTGACCATAAAAAAATTTATATCTCGTAATTGATTAAAATTGTGTATCTCATAAAAAAAATTAGAAAGTATTTGAATATGAGTTAAAGGATTATATTTTCCATTCAATTGAAATTATATATTATTCATATTTTTACCTTGTTAATTTTATATTTATTAGAATAATATCATTAGAATATTTATAAATTATAGTTGATTTTGATATTTAAGAGATATTTATAATATCTTAATTTTATTTTTATATTTATTAGCATAATATGGTTATAGTATTTATAAATTATCATATTGATTAAAATAAATAATATTAGATACGAAAATTAAACGATATTAATATAATAGATTTAAAATAGACATAAAGTTAAATAATTAATACGAAATATTAATATTTATGATGAGTAAGGATAAAATTTGGCTCTATTTTGACTTCTCGAAGACCATATTATCACTTATAATTAATAATTAAAAATAATTTATATAATTTTTTTAATCTATTGAAATATTTTAAAAGAAAAAATAATCATGATGAACATAACACGGAATAATAGGCAATCATCCTCTATACAATGTGTTTGTCATTCACCAAAGTGACCCTTAACTCCACATTAGAAGGTCATGTCTTTCCCCTGTTAGTTAGTCTTTCCCCTCCATTGATCCCGAACATTTTATTAAATCAACGATAGAGATCTATTTTTGCACACTTACACGGTGTTGAACTTTCAGAAACAATAAATAAATTAATAGTCAGTTTTTCAATAATATATTTTTCAAAAAATAAAATCTATCCATTAAAGAAAGAAGAGTGAATTGTATTTTGAGTTCTTGAAATATTTTTTTCCTTTTAATCTAGTGTTAAGAGACTGAATAATATATATATATATATATATATATATATATATATATATATATTTTAATCCTCAACTTTTAATCAACCTTAATTTGTATATTTTATAATATTTTGGAAAAAATATTTATTTTTCTCATAGTATTTTTTATAATTATTAATTTTTGTTATCTCAATATTTTAAGTTAAAATAAATAAATTAAATTCACCTAATAAAAAAAAACAGTGGAGCGGCTTTAAAAGGATATAGGTTAGGACTATTTTGAAAAAATAAATTACTCAAAGATTAAAATATGGAAGACTACTTTTGTAAATAATTGTTATTTCTCTCTCTATATATACATTAAGAGATATTTAATTTAAATATTAATGATAATTTAAATGTTAATGAAATTTATAAATTTGGGAATGAATTTAGTTAACAAGAGTAAGACTCGAATTATATTATGACTCTAATAATTATTTTGTTAATAGTTAAGAAACATTTAATGATGAGAATATGGTAATGACTAGACTATAAGTGACATATACTTATGTTTACCAAATTATAATAAACAATTGATAATAATAAAAATATAATAATTTTGAATCATTTAATTTATAATAGAGTGTTAATAAAAAATTTCTTTTCAAGTGGTCTAGCAACACAAATTTAAGTGATTAAATGCACTTTCCTATTGATTTTAAAGAAATAACAAATTAGGTGAATTTAATTTATTTTCTTAACTTAAGATATTTGGATAAAAAAATTAATAATTATAAAAAATACTATGAGAAAAATAAAGATTTTGTCCAAAATATTAATATATTGTTTATCTAGTTTAGGCTTCATAATTAGGATTTATGACTAAGTATAACGTTCAAAACATAGTAAAACATGATTAAAAATTATAAAATAAAATTAATAATACCATCTTTGGATTTAAAATGACACCAAAATAATTAAAATGAAAGACATCAAAATTATAGCAAAAAGCAGAGAATCACCCTACATTATGTTGAGAAGTAATCCATTAAAGAATTGTGTTGAATTTAAATAGAAAAATGAGGAGAAGGAAAGATTAGTAATGTAACACAACACTCTTGTTTTAGTATGGGCTATTTGATCATGCAGGAAGGAAAATCAAAGTAATGATGAATCGCAGCATCACGTGGACCTAATGAATGGGCCTTTATCGGGTACTATACACCCGAATGAAACGCGTCTCAGCCACTTAATAAAACAAGAGCGGCACAGATTCCGGCATTGCCTTCACAGTACTTCACACCAACTATCTCTTCTCTTCTTCTTTCTTCTTTTTTTTTTTCTTCTCACACTGTATAAAAATTCATTTCCACTCTCCCCAAACATAAAATAGAGTAAATCAATTTCAGTCTCATAATCACTCATTCTATCTTTCTGTAACCGTCACCTTCGAGGCTATGCCCACTAACGAAGATTTTCAAGGTATTATTTCTATTTTTTTTTAATTTAATTAAATATTTGGAGTTAAATGTTATCTTCACTCTTCGTGGTTTTCGGCACCTAAAGATTTGTTTTTTTTTTGCTTCTTTGAATTAGTCTGTTAATTTGGAAGAGGGAGTGAGGTTTTATTTTTTATTTTTTTAAAACATAGGGTTGAAGAGAAATGTGTGGTAGGACCAAGGAAGGGGATTTGAGAAGGGATACATGATCAATTAGGATTCCTCCAAAGGTCTTAAGTAATTGTTTGTTGAAAAAATTAAAACTTTCGCAGGGCTGGAAGCATTTTGATGCGACTGGTATGATATTAGTTTCTTGATAAATGAAATCAGAAGTGGATTAGACCAGGTTTACTTGCCGCTCTGTTTGTGTAGGTTGAGATATTGCTTTGTGCTGACTATTTGCATTTGTTTTGTTTCTTTGTATATAATTTAGGCGTTTCAAATTGCTATGTGTTCAAGAGCCGATTGCAGGAGTATGCGCAGAAGGCAGGGCTGCCTACGCCTGTCTATGAAACTATCAAGGAGGGGCCTTCCCATGAACCTTCCTTCAGGTCAACAGTGATAGTTAATGATGTTCGGTATGATTCTTTGCCTGGATTTTCCAACCGGAAAGCAGCAGAGCAGTCAGCTGCCGAAGTTTCTTTGGTGGAGTTGGCCAAATCTAATATAGTTAATCAATCCATCACCCAACCTGTTGTAAGTAGTCTTTGCCGAGTGTCAACTTTTGTGTTTGCAAATTGTGGGTGTAGTTGATTATTATGTTTTACATTGATTAAAGTGGTTGGGATGCTTGATGATTTTGTTTATACTCCTGTACGTTTAATTCTCTGTACTGTTAGAGTAATCACGTCTTGGAATGTATGGATTTTGAGAAAAGAACAAGCCAGTTTGAGTGCTGGAGCATTGCCTGCTGCGGAATAAAAACTTACTTTTACCCCACTGTAGTTGAAGACATATTACTTTTTCTCACTAATACATGAATCGCCCCCATCGTTTGTCCTCGTATTAATTATATGCTAGGGAATGGAGAGAAGTGTAATTGGTTGGAGACCCAATCTATAACAATTTATACCTGTATTGCCCAACCCAAGTTATCTGTACTATTTGGCATTTGGCACCACTTTGTATTTGTCCATTTTGACTTTGAGCAGAAATATCATTGTCGCCTATTTTGTGCAAATTGTGGATAGCCACAATTTTTTTGCCAGAATATTTGGCTGGAATGGTTGAATTCTTATTTACTCCTGGAGGGATGATTGATCACTGCCACTTTGTCGTATCCAACCACTACCAATGAATCTATCTGTATGATTGTCGAAATTTTTGTCTAATTTTTTACCATGTAGAACTTTACTTTGCAGATTATATTTTCACCCACCTTAGTCATTATTTAATTTTTGAAATATGCATGCTTAGTGGACATCTGGTCTAAATGCATGCTTAGTAATTAGCTGATCTAACACTTTTAAGAGCTTATATCTTTGTTGCACAATTTATCTTAGGCATTTGTGCTTGTATCGTCTCTCAACATTTAGTAATGTTAGTTTCAGCATTAGTCTCCTTCAGTCATATGTATTTGCTGCTTCTGACCATGCTAGTGGTGTTACTTCCAGCATGAAACAGGATTATGCAAAAATTTACTTCAGGAATATGCTCAGAAAATGAACTATGCAATGCCTATGTATCAGTGCAAAAAGGATGAAACACCAGGTCGAGCTTCTGTATTTTCATGTACGGTTGACATTGGGGGTATACTCTATATTGGGGGAGCAGCACGAACAAAGAAGGAAGCAGAGATTAAAGCTGCTAGAACTGCTCTATTAGCTATCCAATCAAGTGCATCTCATGCTTCCCAAAACCAGGTTGGCCATCCACAGTTGACGGTCCTTCCATGCAGAAAAAGGGTAGCAGAATCAGTTGCTATAGCTGATGAGAATTCAAATCCCCCAAAGCCTAAGAAAACGCGATTTAAAAGGAAATCTTCAAAGAGGAAAAATCCTAGAGATAAGATAGGCTCAATTCATACTGAAAACGTGGGTATTGGAACAAATATCAATCATGAAGTAGAAACACAAGCAATTGTTAATGGGGAATCTGGCCTCCATGAAACGAAATCTGAAAAATTCGCTTCAGAAGCCATGAAGAATTTAGAGAATGGAGTATCAGTTAATTATCCCGAGAAAGAAACATTGGCTGCGGAGGTTTCTTTTGCTCTGAAGAGCCAAGAAGGGGTTCTTGAAAATGGAAAGTCAACAGAATTTTATTCCAGGGAAAACAGTCTTGGGATTGTTGTGACAGAACTCTCTTCTGTGTCTAATGGAGACATTTTGGAAACGGGTGTGGAGATGAACAAACAGCAATACAACGGAGAAATGGTTTCTGACCATTGTGTCGTGGGGGGTTGAGGCTTAAAGTATTAAATTATTAGCATGAGAGATAATATTCAAGCAATGCCGGTCATATATTAATGTTAGGAACCTTGAGGATTCCAACTGTTTTTCTTTGTTGGGTGTCACTCAATTAGGAAAGTAAAATATAGGATGTGATGATTCTCAAAGCATATTGATAATTTTTATCAGTGATCTGATGAGGGTGTGTAACACCATTATTTATATTTGAGTTATGTTCCATTTGTCAGCCATTATTTATATTGTATCGTATATTTGAGTTATGTTCCATTTGTCAGCGACATGGGACATAGGTTTGGACAGGTTTGATTGAACTTAAATGAAAAAAATGCAATTTCCTTTTACAGTTCAGCATCAAGTTCGAAATGTCTTTAATGAAGATTCATTTACATGTATTGGTAGTGGAGAACACTTTACGGTGTGTTTGGTAAGTTGGGATGAAATTGGGGTGAATGATGGCAAGTAGAGTAGATTTGAAGAGTCTTTGGTTTCAGGAAAAAAAAATAAAAAATAGAGAACCAAAAAAAGAAGATAAAAAACTACATAGTATTTTACCATTACCGATGGAGTTTTGTGCAAATGGGATGCGTAAGCCTCTGGAACTCACATTCACCCCATCAATTTCAATCCAATGGACCCGTCCTTGTATCCATGTCATGAGAAGAGAGCCACATATATGTCCTTCTTTCATGAAGAGGCAATTGCATTACAACCTCTGGAACACGCGTGCCTATTTTTGACATCTTTATGCATCTTACAAGTACTAAGCTAAGTCTTCTATATGGCATCATCTAATTTCTTTGACATGTTCAATATAAGCTTTTATGCTCAGGTATGGCAATGGGGCGGGGACGAGTTTTCTATCTCCGATCTCCGTCTTCGATTTTTTTAATAATTCTTGTCTTCGATTTTTGTTGGGGTTAGAAATTAAGTCTTCATCTCGTCCTCGCTGGGTTTCAGGTTCTTTGTCTCCGTTCATGTCACTCGATTTATATTATTTTTTAAAAAATAATTATATTTATAATAAATTAATTTTACTATGTATTTTTATATATAAATAAATATTTATAATTTATAATTATTATTAATTAAATATACATTTTAGTTTATTATATTTATATTAAATTATATATGTAAAAGAAATATTTAATTAATTTTTATTTATATATATATCTAATATTTATAACATTATTATTATTATTATTATTATTATTATTATTATTATTATTATAACCATGTATTCAAATATTTAAATACTTATAACATTATTATTATAATACTGTATTCAAACATTTGATTATATATATAAGTTAATTCATTTTTAAGTTATCATTTAAAAATATGAAATATATCGTTTATAAAGAAATATTTAATAAGTTAATTCTTATTTAATTAGTTTGAAGTAATAAAAGTTTAAATTATCAATTCTTTTTAATCCTTTAAAATACAATTATTTTATTAAGATAAAATTGGGTATATGATAAATAAGCATAATAAGATAAAAAAATATGACATAATAAAATATAATAAATATAAATTATAAATAAACTAATATTAGTTATTACTAAGATTTATGTAAAATATTTAAAAAAAGATAAAGAAGAAAAAAAATTAACTTTGTGTTCATCAAATTTGTTGAAAAGATTGAAAAAAAAATTGATGGAAGAGATCAAGGAAATGTGAAAAACTGAAAAATAAGAGAGAGAATAATATAATAAATTAATTGATATAAAAGATTGAAAAAGATAAAAAAAAATTAAAAAGTGGATAGAAGAAAAATAAAAATTGGTGAAATGTAAAAAAATGACCTTATATGTAATAGAAAAAAGAAAGAAAGAAATATTTTTAAAATATTAATATTTTAAAATTTAAATTTAAATATAAAGTCGGAACGGGTCAAGGTCGGGATTGCATTACCCATCCCCACCCCGACTTTTTAAAGCAAGGAAACCCGAACCTCGTTCTCGTCCTCGATCAACTCAGGTTTTCTCGTCAAACTTCGGGACGAGACGAGTCGATCCCTCGGATACTGAGTTTAATTGTCATCATGTACTTCTCGAACGTAACCAACACAACCCATAAGTCGTTCCATTCATGAAAGCATATTTGAAAAACTTTTTGAATAATTAAGAATGAATTATAGATTACATGTTTGAAAATGTATTGTAAAATCATTATTTCAGAGTGTCTTCGTTTGAAATCCTTTTAATACAATTCACACGTAACATTTTCTTAAAGTCTAAATTTTAAAAAGTTATTTTTTTTTTCATATCAGTAATGGGGGTGGGGGTGGGGGTGGGGGTGGGGGAGGGGGAGGGGGTGTACGAAATAATTACGGAGATGTATAGAAAGTAATTTCCGAAAATAAAATCCTAGCTACCAGTGTGTCCGAGGCCCCTATTATTATTATTATTATTAATAAAAGCAATGAGATCTGCTTAAACACTAGAACTCAAAACGACGGCGAAGGGCACAGGAAGCGTGAATTACGTTTGAAAATGCACGGTCGGCCTCGCAAAGCGTTGAAGCAAGAAGATGAAGCGGCTTTATCAGCCAAAGCTGAAAAGCTTCGTTCACTCCAAGCTCTCTTCCTCGCTAACCACCACAATAGCATGTTGCTTCTTCTTCCTTCAACTCTCTCTCTCTCTCTCTCTCTCCACCTTAAATTAATTCCAATTGCGCAAATCTGGTTGGTTACAGATATAGCAAGGAAGCACTAGATGTAAGCGCGAAGCTTCTAGAGGTTAATCCAGAATGCTACACTGCTTGGAATTACAGAAAACTCGCCGTTCAACACCTCCTCTCTAACTCCGATTCCGATCCCCATGTGATCTTCCAAGACGAGCTCAAACTCGTGCGTGTTCACTCTAGTTAATGTGGTTCAAATATTTGGTGGAATAATTAGTTTATTCATTTATTATGTTTTCTGTGAATCGATTACTAGAGTTTGTTATTTGTTTACTATTGTTTAGGTAGAGATTGCTCTGAGGAAGAATTTCAAGTCTTACGGCGCGTGGCATCACAGAAAATGGGTGCTCAGCAAGGGACATTCGTCTATCGGCCACGAAATGCGCCTTCTGAATGGTTTTCAGAAGGCCGATCCTCGAAATTTTCACGCGTGGAATTACCGAAGGTTCAATACTGCTTCCTTTCGATGGTCTCTTTTCAACCAGAGCAAGAGAAATAGTCACTTCGAGAGATTTTTGCTGCTTCTGTTTGTTTTTAACAGTTAAAAACTTAACGCTTGCATCTAAACAAATTTCAATGCAGTTTTGTGAAATAATTCTGATTAACTCTACTCCAACGCTAAGCTAAACTGAATAGGTTTGCATCCATTTTTCTGTTGATTTTACTTTCAGGTTTGTTGCGGAACTGATGAAACGATCGGATGAGGATGAGTTGAAATACACGGAGGAAGTTATAGGGGCTAATTTCAGTAATTACTCTGCATGGCACAATCGTAGGTAGTTATAACCTGAAATTTACTCATTCAGAGCTACATTCTTGTGCTTGCTGGCTGTGTGCCTTTTCTGTACGGTTTCACTCATTTAATTACCTGAATTACATTTTTATGCTTTTCAGAACTTGTGAATCGTGCATGGACTGTTTTACTCGTGTTTGCGTGTCTCTGGAAAGGCATGAAATTGAAATGTTAGGAATGATTTTGTACAAGATTCATGTATGTACACATGCTTGTTTTATTCTTTAGTTTTGTTCGTGAAACAAGCATTGGCATCTATCAACTTTTCATATTTAAATGTTTTCCATGTGATCCTTGGAGGTGTCCTTTGATATCTATGTTTGATCAATTGTAGCTGAGAAAGGGGTTTTCACGACTACACAACCAGGGTATTTGGCAAATATTGTGTCAGTATTGTCTAATCAATTAACATCTACTTTGAAGCATCTACAACATTATCTTGTAGATAAACAAATCGAAAGTAGGTTTTTCATGTAATTTGAAAACGACCCCTTTTGGGGCTTGATTTGGTGCATGCAGATTTGGATCCTCTTTTGTTTAACAGGAGCATTCCTGGGTTATAAATCCTCACCATTCTTTAAGCTTTACTACTTAATCTACCCTTGAAATAAAAACCAATTAAAACTATGAAAGAAGAATGGGGAACATGCGTGCCTAGGTTAGTGGGTTAATTAGTTTTTATTTCAACTGTGTATATTAAATAATAAACTTAATAAATGGCTAGGATTTATCAAACAGGGTCTCTTCTGTTAATAGTAAACAGGAGGGGATTTAAATCTGGTGAATGCCATGTTTTATCGAAATATACACCTACCCATTTCCTACATCTCTTAAATGATCATCAACATACATTATGTAATGACTTTAATCATTTTAATGAGAGGTATTTTTGATCTTGTAGGAAAATGTTTGAGGAAAATGTTTGTGTACCAGTAGGAAAATAATGTGAAACCATTTTTTTCTTTTAGGGTTTTTGTTCGGTGTATCTGTTTTTTCTTTCGGGGGTGGGGGTGTTCAAATCAACACTATTGTTTAGGACTTTGTCTCATTCGGTAAAATTTGACTCTTCTTGATTAACCAAATTTCTTAATCTAAACCAAAAGGCTGAGAAAGATTTATTTACTAATTTTTATTAATACATATTGCATTGGGAATTTTTCAGTGTGCTTTTATCAAATTTACTGAAAAAGAAGGCTGAAGGATATTTCCCTAAAGAAAATTTTTTGGAAGAGGAGTTTGAGCATGTCCACAATGCTATTTTTACAGATCCAGATGATCAGAGTGGTTGGTTTTATCATCTTTGGCTTATTGACCAGACAGTGAAAACTGATGCTCCTCTACTTGTTTCATCTTGGCCATCCCATGGATCTAGGATAACTTTAATTGGGGACAACAACCTTCGGGGTTGTGGTTTGTCTCTGCTGAATGGTACTCTTTTAGGCACAGGAACACTTCCAATCATTCTTGATTTCAATCAAGCTGTAGAAGGAATAAATTCATCCACAGTGGCTATTGAATCCGAGCTTTTAAAGGAGGAACTTATTTGGAAACCACTTTCAATGAACAATTCAAATACTGCTAAAGTTTGGGTTGTATATCTAAACCTTGGAAATATGGAACTTCTACCATCAAAAGCTTACTCTGTACAGATCAAGGTTGGACATTCTAAGGGTATTGCATTTTCTAATGGAAATCACTATAGTGATCCTTCCCAAATTTCCTTTAAAGTGCTAGTACAGACTGCATCTGCTGAACCTGCTGAAGGACAGGGTGGAAAAAGGACTACATGGAAGGATACCAATTTTCATAAAATTGATCATTTTCAGGAATCAGATGCCATTCTTTCTGCTGATAATAATCCCCATATTCCAACAACTTCCAATTGGTGCTCTGAGGAAATTGCTGAAGAAATAACTAAATTTCGAGACTTACTGTCAGAGTATGACTGGTAAGGTTTATTTGTTAAATGGACAACTTTATGACTTGAAATGCCACCTTTGAAGTTTTATTTCCATGCTTTTGTCCTTGTTTATTTCTAGATAATGTGTGCCCTTTTCTTATTGTAGTAAAATTGGAAAGCTTACACTTGCAAGACTTTTGACTGCTCTTGATTTGTTATCATCTCATCATGATGGAAGAAAATCTAACACTGAAGAAGTTCTTCAACTTTACACCGATCTGATGAAGTTGGATCCAACACATTCTCTATACTACAAAGACAAGCACAGTCTAATATCACTAAAGCGGGTACTTAACTTTAATTCAGAATTAATTATCTACATAGCATAATCCCATTTGCCTTTCATTGTTGCTAATAAAGATGTCAAATACTCTTGTGAATATCTCTGAGACTATCAACATAGTTAAAATGTCTGATAGCAGCTAGAATATATGGACCTTAAGTTCTTGTATTTGTTGTCAAATGAATTTGTTCAATTCTATGTTTTCAAATTGAAAACAGAAAACATGACTAGGAATGTATGTATTTGTGTTTGACTAAAAAAGATATTCCTGAAAGTACTGTGAGGGAGATTGATAGCAATGTGAAGCATTTTCCTACATTTTGAAGATGATTTTGATGAAGATTCAAGTAAACACTACTCAAGATTCAAGCAAGCCCAAAGACTAGATAGAGTCTTAAAACACTGAATATGGAGGTATAAGTCGATGAAGTAGTATTGTACATAAACCTCCAAAACACAAGTGTGAAACAATTTCGTATTATGACATTTTTCACTATCATAATCGATTATGAGAGGCTCATAATCGATTATGTCAGCAAATGAAGCAATTGTTTTTGAAATTTCTCCGTCATAATCGATTATATAAGTATTATAATCAATTATATAAGTATCATAATCGATTATACAAGTGTCATAATCGATTATGATGCATCAGAAATGAAAAATACATATTCAATACTATTTTCCTATTTAAATGAATTTTGATGAAAAATCAAAATACAGAACAAGAATACATAATTTTGCATACACAATCAATTTTGAGAAAATCATTATGAGCAAGGCAACAAAGTCATTTTACATTTTTTGAGAAAATCCTTTCTCTATTGCCTTCGGTGCTTTCATTGTGAATCACACTTGTGCTTGGAACTATCATTCTACAGGCTTCTATAATTTGTTGTCTCAATTATCAGGTGTGACTATTTTTGTTGAAATTCTTATATTTAGGATTTCCTTTGTGGGAGAACTGTTCATCCTTTAATTTGTTCATAGGAGGTGTTCATCTCAAGTGAGATTCTTGAGAGATGTGTTTCATCCTTTGATTTGTTCAGAGGAGGTGTTCATCTCAAGTGGTATTCTTGAGAGGTGTGTTTTCATCTTTTGATTTTCTTCAAAGAAGGTGTTCATCTCAAGTGTTATTCTTGAGATGTGTGTTTCATCCTTTGATTTGTTCATAGGAGGTGTTTATCTCAAATATGATTCTTGAGGAGTGTGTTTCTGTTTCATCCTCTGTTCTAGAGAGGTGTTTATCTTTTTAATTAGTTTACTGTTTACGGATTCTTCTGCAAAGTTGATTGTAATTTGTAAACTGAATTTTTAAGATAATGAATTGGGTTGTCTCTCTATACTTTGTGTTTTTTTCTTTCCCTATATCTTTTTTTATTATATTATTGTTTCCGCATTATCTATATTCAATTTGATAATTAAAATTAAATTAACAAATTATTGGACATCTTAAATAAATTTTTAATTTGTGTATTTATTCATTCCTTTAGATGTCATTTGTCTAACAATTCCAAGATTATTCCCATTTGAGAGGTGGAAAAAAAGTGGAAGCTGAAAATATTTTCAGAGTCAAGCCTGCACTTTGTAGAAAAATCATTTGACTGGAGAAATGGCAATTAGAATCTTCTAGTTGTCGATTTTATTTTTTATATTGCTGGTTTGCTATAAAATATGCTAGACATTCGAAGCTTTTATCTGATCATGTTGGTGTATTTTTATATTTACTTTAGCTTTACACTAGTACAAATTTTCTGTATCTTCCCTAATAAATCATTTTGCTCTCTTAATGTTTTGATGATTCTGCAGATAACATCAACTAGGGACTCTTTACTACCATACTGCTACCACTATAAAGATGCAACAGAAACAATCACTGGTTATGTCTGTCTACGATTACAAAGTCTATCGTTGTCACGGATGGGATCCATTGAAAATTTATTGTGGGTGCAAATGCTAGACCTTAGTCACAACGAACTTCAATCCATTGAAGGTAAAACTTGTGTATCTCATAATTTTCTTATAACTTAGCTTTTCCCTCTCTTCAAATTCAACAAGAACCCATTCATATTCTTTCTTAGGGGGGTCAGCACATGTATTTAGTACACCGTTCTGCTTAATCCTGTATCATGAATTCATAAATTCCCTGACTATTTTATACTTAATTAAATTGAAGAAGTTATGCTCCTCTATTTTCTTTTTAACTTTCTCAACAGAATATTTTATGTATTAGCAAACCTCTAGTTTCTTGCCCCTGTTTCTATCCATGTTTTACAAACTCGAGTCTTTCTTACACTAATTAAGCATAAGTTGTCCACATTCTAAATCTATATAGGTTCAGCATACTACTGATAATAGTTTAATAAAATTTAATAAATTAACATTGACAATTTAATTTCTTTAGTTTCATGCAATATCCATTTACGTTGTAGCAGACATGATTTTCAAGTTGTTGTGCAGAGGAATTAAATCCTGAAAGGTTGTATCTGGCTTAGGCTGTATCTTTGGCTAATCACTTTTTGGAATGTTTAACTTTTAATGTATTTTAAGTTGTAATAAAATATATCATACTGAATCTTTTTGACAGGATTGGAGGGCATGCAACTTCTATCTTGTTTAAATCTGAGTCATAATAAAATTCGTAGTTTTACTGCTTTGGTGCCTCTCAAATTGGTTAAGTCACTTAAGGTGTTGAATATCTCAAACAATGAGTTGGGCTCTCATTTGATTGACACAACGAGATACTTATGCCCTTCTCCTGTATCTCACACTGAGGAATTTGCCTGGGAGCGTTTTGAAATCCTCGCTGGCAGTGTTAGTGCCACAAATTTTTGGGAAGCTTTCTTGATATTTGGAAGCTTGGAATTGACCGAGTTAAACATAACAGGGAATGCAGTAGCAGATGAAAACTTCAGGTCATTTCTTGTCAAAGTTTTGCCAACACTCAAGTGGCTCGATGATGAAGAGCTATCTTGATCTATGTTGGCTTTTAGAGATGCAGTTTTATCTTACTGGTATACTGTGAAGATAAAGTTCCTCATCCAGAAGATGGTTCATTGGGTAAACATTTTTTCACCCGTTTCACATTTGGTCCGTGTTGACATCAGGTGCTACACTGCTTGTACGGATTAGGCTAGTAACATTTTTACAAATACCGAATGACTTCTTGGATGTGTGATACAAGCTCCTTGTTCAATTCTTATCGCTTCCCCGTAGTCATGTAGAAGATAAAGTTTATACGACCCTTAAGCATGTACACGATCCTTGAAATTATTAGCCTTGAATTGCTCTCTATATAATTTTTGGTGCTGAGACATGAAAGTTGTTATCCGTCCTCTTGTGAAGGACGAAAGTATCATTTGTGTAATCAGTCTCATGTTGCTTTGATCTTAAGCTTGTACTTGAGCATTGCATGCTTAAAAAATGTAAGTTACGAATCAGTAGAAGATGAACAAATTAAATAGTTCTTGGAATATTTAGGAAATTGAAGTAGTTTAAGTAACTATACATGGTCCAAGCCATTTAGGGCAAGCTTCTAAGAATTGATAAATGGTTTACTGTTGATCGTATGTATTCTGCCTGATTCGGTTCCCTCTCATTTGCCTTACTAGAATCGGTATTGTTCATTATGGTCAAATCGATTCTTACATTCTAATATTTTCAGAAGACACCATGCAGTCCAAGGAAATAGTCATCGTGTAAACTTTTTCTAATTCCCGTAGTTTCCCACTTATGTTGCTAGCGGCATTTCAAGAAGTTTGGTGGTAGGGGCTTTGGCGAATTTTCCCAAGTGGACTATGACTGGAAAGTTTTCTGAACATGATGAAGGTGAGAACAATTCAATGATAGACTACTGCTAGAGATGTTTTAAAAAATGGAAGAGGGTTGTTAGACGAGACTGGGGGTAGCAGTTGCTCAAAAATTTCTTATGGGTCTTTTGAGAAAAAGTTGAGTTTATTGGTTGGAAGAGGTTTTGAAAGATTGAGAAGTGAGGTGTTATGAAGGAAAGTGTTAAATAATTGCATGTATCTATGTTTTAATGAGATGGATAAAAAATATTTGAATTAAACCAACTTTATAAGTGATTCAATATAACTCTAATTATTCGATTGCTGCTTGGATAAGAATATCTTCATAGTTTTTAAGCTCATGGCAAAGGGCACTAGCGTCTAACCATAGCTTGCTCTGCTTATGAAGCGACTCTCTTTTTCTATCCAAACACGACTTGTTATATAAAACTTTCAGAGCAAAAAGAAAACAAACATAACCGAAAAAGAAATATTACATTTTGAAGTAAGGCAATCCTGGCCGTTGTGTAGGAGGTTCCCAGTAACTATTATATATAAAAGATAAATAGCTTGATTTTGTAGTCGGTCTGTAATATAAAATGAAATACTAGAAACAGAGGATCTTTGTTCCATTCTTCCTTTTTTCAGAGTGACTTAATAAAACAAACTTCTGCAGAAAAAACTTGGGACTGCATGGTCCCCAATTGTTTTTGTGTGTTTACAATGTAGGCATTTCTTTCAATGTTTGTTTTTTCAGTACTATCTTTCATGGAAAGAACTTTTGTTTCGTGTTCTCACCACTAAACTTGGGAACAAAACATAAAAGGCATAATTGAAAATGGAAAGGTGCAAAAAAAATACAAGGTAGTGTGCGAGGTAAGAAAATCTTCCCTTAATATAAGTAAAAGTTCGCAATTTAACACCTGTAGAATTGAAATACTTCAGCGAAAATCATTATTGATGCTAGTGCTCACACTTAACATCCAATCACTATATCCATAATCGAAGACTGTAAACAACGATAGTTTGAAATAAACATACAATAATCAAAGGATTTCATCTAAAACCTTTGATTCGATATGTACGTTATGAAGAACCCAACCTGTTGAGAGCTTCCTGAGCCGCATTCAATTGCGGCTCCAACTCGAGAGCCTCTTTATAAGCCTTCTTCGCTTCCTCTCCCATCTCATTCCCCTCATAACACTCTCCCAACATGCACCACGCTTTCGCGTTCCGCGGACTCAGCTTCACCGACTCATTCAAATCCGCCAGTACCGAGTCAACACGCCGCTCGCTCAACGCGATCTTCAGCTCCGCTCTCTTCAGCAGCGCGTCGCCTCTCTCGTCGGCCGCCAGCGACGCCGCGGCGAGCGGAGAGAGCGCCGCGTCAAGAGCGTCGAGCGCGTTACTGCGGAAGCCCTGGAGATCGAGCGCCATGGACTTCAAGAGGTGCGAGGCGGCGTCCTTCGGATCGAGCGCGATGGCCTTCTCGGCTTCCGCTAGGGCCTGTTTAGCGAGGGAGGTTGCGATGGAGGTGGTTTTGGATCTTCTGGCTTGCGCGAGCAGTTGTGCGCCTTTGACGAAGTGGCGTTTGGCTTGGACGGCGCTTGGATTTGGGGGGCGGTGGCGGAGCTTGGCAAAGAGGCGCTGGGGAATGCCGTGCATCCAGAGGAAGGAGAAGATGGCGATGAAGATGATAACGATTTGTAGTGCGATATCGCGAATCATTGCTTTTTTCTCGTCGGGCTCCATTTTTGGGTTCTCGTGCTGATCACGGATCTGCACAGATAGGGTTATACAGATAGTGGAAAAGTGATGAGTAGACGAATCCGAGAAGGTTTTCTGGTCTTCAGTCAGGGACTCTATGCGTAGACCACAACGTAGCCGCCCTGATTCGTTTGACTTTTTATCTCACAGGTAATGTAGTAGTCAATTATTTATTGGTTTCTAAATTAAACAAATTATAATTGAATCATGATATATATATATTATTACTATTTAATATCATTGCACTACTATTTGTGGTTTATGTTATGATACACATTTTATATAATCTTGAGATTAATATTAGGAATTACATTTTATATTGCCTCTTCACTCTTGACCTCTCTAACCATCATGAAACATTCTTCTAATTATCATTTTTAAAATTATATTGTACTAGAGCAAAAACATATATAAGTAAGAGTAACTTTAAATTTCACTAAAGTACAAATTTAAATGATAAACATTATTTTTATTTCACTTATTTAATGAAACTATTCCTAAGTAAGCATTTTTTTCTAAGTTTTTACTGTCTCACCTATAGATAAAAAAATATTATAAATCAAATGTCTTAAATAGACTAATATGAAAATTAAGGTGAAACTTTAACAAAACATTTTGAGAGAATACTATATTTTTTAATGCAAAATATATTAATAAATTGTTATTGTTAAGTATCATTTGAGATTTAATGATTACAAAGAATATATATATATATATATATATATATATATATATATTACATATTATTTAATGCGTTTTTATTTTTTATTTTATATATCTATATATATATATATATTTAATAATATTTTTATAGGAATTATTTATGTGAATTTTTTTATCTTAATAATATAAAATAAATATGTATGATGTTATGTCATTTTTAAGTGATTTAATATAAATTTTACTTTTACTTTATTACAAAATTTTTAATATTTTTTTAAGTTACTTATAAAATAATTATCAATTTTTTTAAGTAATTTATTATATTATATAAGATTTTTTTATGAAAATTTATTTTAAGTAAAATACTAGTGGTTCTAACATTTTCTCCAAATTTTTTAAAATATTTTTTTTATTAAAAAACAAAACAAAATACTAAAAAAAATGTATTAATACTAATATAATAAAATCACAATTGATATAAGTAACGTCGCATTTATTTCAAACTTCGATTAAAGTATGGTACAGACATCCAACAATAAAAAGGTTTTCGACGTCAAACAACATATAGTCTAAGTTTAAATTATGATTATTTATTTGTTATGACTCAAAATATAATATTACACATTTTTTATTTAATATATCATTTGACCTAATTATAATATTTCAAAAATAAATTTATGTGTTATCATCATAATATCACAAATTGAATTTATTATTAAATTTATAAAGTCTTATATATAGAGAGAATTCTATTATATTTAAACGAATCATTACACATAACTTTTAATATTATTTTTATAAATATTACTTTACTAGTGGATTTTTTAGATTCCGCACTACAAATTAAAATAATTTTTTCATTATTAAAACCCAGAATTTTATATAAGACATAGTTATTAATTTTAACATTCTACCATATCATATAAGTTTTATTCAAACAAACAAAACCTTTTCATAGGATGTGTCTTAAATTTAAACTAAACATTCTACCATATCAAATGAGTTTATTCTAACAAAATTTTGGATAGGTTCTGTGTCTTAAATTTAAAACCTTCTTAAAACAATTGCATTGAAGATACCTCGACACTCTTAAATAATACAAAAATTAAAAAAATATTAATAAAGTGCAACAGAAATTAAATGATAATATTGAACGGGGGATCTAGAATTAAAGCTAATTATATTCCACGACGAACTTATTGATGCCCACAATATCGTCTCTAGTTTATAAACTTTTACCTATCTTATCTTATAAAATAATTTTACCGAGGTTACTTTTTTTAAAGCAATCAAACATACATTATCATTTCTCAAAAGATAAAAAAAATAATTTCTAATACCAAATATTCTCTAAATTAAAAAAGATTAAAAAAATATAATATGAGAATTAGATGAAAAATACAAATATAAAAAACAACTTAAATAAATAAAATAAAGAGAAACAACTTAAATAAATAAAATAAAAAGAAATGATAATTTGACAATCTAAATTTTTATAATTTTTTTAAACAATTCTCTTTTAATATTATAATAATAATTTTAATTTATTTTTATTTTTATTAAATCATTCGATTATTTTATTAATAAAAATGTATTATTTAAAGGGTGGTATGATTTTCAAAATATCACCCTCACCATTTAAAATAAAAGAGTTGATTAAAATATCACCGCAAAAGTACAACAACAAAAAATTACATTTGTTTTTTGAGGCGCTAGAAAACCCAAATATGGGTTGCGCATCTCTCTCTATATATCTCCCATCTTGATAACTTCTGCAGGAGATTTTACCAGCTTCTTTAGTGACTCAACTATGCCACCAAAAGACGGACGCTCACTAGGGTCACTGTCAAGTAAATAATGCAAGCATCACAAATAAAAGTAAATAATTAGGAACATACAACAAACAGTTGTTAACAAAGCGAAGATAACATGTGAATTATACGTATTTTTCTAAAAATATTGATCAGAAAGGCTCCCACCTTCTAAAGCAATAGTGGAATCAATGGTGTTGTCAGTTTATCGTGCAAATGGTCATCCAAATTTCATGTTGACTTTGAAATCTCTATATTATTACCAGCACCGACCAATAGGTATTCCAAACATAATTGAAATTTTCAAATAGTTTTAATCACAGAACCGGACCATTGTTTCTTTCTTGTTGAAGTCAAGATTGTTATTTACTTAGATCGGTGTTCATAGAGAACCCAAAAATAAATGCATGCATTTTTCTAATGGAATTGGATCAAGTGTCGCAAATATGTTTCTAATTTACAAATAATGACGTAGCTTAGACTTACTCGGCCCAACAAGATTCCATGAGGGAGGCCAATGCTGGAGAGATGTTTGGAGGGATAGCAAGCCTCCTATTCTGGAAAGCGACAGCTCCAACCACCTGAGGGTTCAATGAAAATGATTATTTAGCAATCTCTTAGTAAAATTATGAGGATTCATTATTTCAAGCAGATGTTTGAAATATGCAAAAATTCATGTATACCGTTATATCATATGTCCTTTTTAAATTAACAAATTCTTGCAAATGGTCCCTACTATTGCATAAATAAACACATTAAGTAAAATAAAAATGGTTTCTAACATTTAAAATTTAGAGCTTATATATTCATACCTGGGCAGGGCTAAGTCCACTCCATGGTTGTTGCATTGTCACAAGTTCCCAGAGTATAACTCCAAAACTGTAAACATCAGATTTCTCATTGGAGGGTTCTCCGCGAAGGAATTCTGGAGCCATCCACTCAGGCTAAAAATAAAATTAGGAGTTACACACTTGTTGAGTGAGAGTAATATGAAGCAAAAGTTCAACCTGTGAAATATTACAAGAATGACCCCAAACCCAAGTGTACATACAGGAAAGCAAGTCCGTTGTTCACTTGCACACCTCCCATCCACCGAACCAACATAAATTTTGACACTCAGAAGCAATCTGACTACCAATCATCTTTCAACACATGATTGTATCATGGATCCAGGTAGTAGGTACCCAGTTGTAAGTGAAAAACTAATCAGAGTGGCTGTGAATCAACATGCATTCACAAGTAGCTACAACAGTTCAAGTTTAGAACTCTTCGTTTCAAACTTGAAAGTGCTACTCTACTCCAAAACATGAGGAAAGAAGTGGACTTTTACTCACAAGATAATTAGGAAGTTATAACAAGAAATTTATATGATTAAGTTAACAGAATGAGAAAACAAGGGGAAGAATCTTAACTGTTCCAGCAACTGATTTGGACGGTATGAAAGTGTTTGCCTTAAATCTGGACAATCCAAAATCACAAACCTGAACATGAAAAAAAAAATAAAAAATCATCTACTTGCATAAAGTGGTTAAAATCTCATAATAAACTGCTAAATCAGTACCATTCTACCTTCACAGTCCAATTTTTATCCACTAACAAGTTTGGGGATTTAAGATCCCAGTGCACAATTGGAGGTTTCAGACAGTGGAGATAATTGATCCCTTTAGCCTGCAATCAAACAAATGATATGTTATGTACAAGATAATTGTTTAGTGTATAACAATAATAATATCTGGTACAAACCACATCCAAAGCCATCCTTAATCTCCTCCTCTTATCCAGAATTTCACTAGATGCTGGTCTGTGTATTAGGCGGTATAAACTACCCCTATCACAAAAAATGTATAACAACAGTAAAGGCAATCAATTCTTTATGCAAGAACGAGAAATATTATGGTTAAAGATATAAGTTGATTTTCTTACCTAGGCAAATACTCTGTCACTATTGATAGATGGGGGCGTTTTGTAACAGACCCCATGAAGAGCACCACATTTTGAAAGTGATCCTAGCAAAGATCTCATTGATTTGATGAAGTCAAAGATAAAGTCAAAGGTCAACTCTGCAACAGTCAAACAAGTCACTCAGAAGAATGGAGCTGAAGACTTAGTGTGTCTAAACAGAAAGCTTAGGTAAAACCACTTTACCTTTTCCACTGCATAAAGCTTCTTCACTCAATTTGCAAAATGCCTCAAAAATAGTTTTAAACAAATCAAACAAAAGCATTTTGTCAAAGAACCTTCTTAAAAATGGTTTTAACTGATATAGTTTTTTAAAGAAACGTTTAAAACACTTAGAATGTTTATAGAAGTGTTTTCACAGTATTTTAATCGATACAAACTTCTTTTAATCGATTAAAACTCTTTATGACCGATTAGAATTCGAATATAATAGGTCAGAATGCATTATAATCGATCAGATCTTAAATATGAGCGATTAGAATTATTTTAATCGATTAAAACACGTTTCAATCGATTAAAATCACTTTGGATGTCAGGTATGATCGATCAGAATGAGATTATGACCGATCGAAGTTGGTTATGATCGATCAGAATTGAATTATGACCGATCAGACTTATTTCAATCGATTAAAACGCATTTCAATCGATTAAAATAACTTAGAAAATCTTTTCAATCGATTAAAACGTATTTCAACCGATTAGAACAACTTAGAAAAATTACATGCAGGTTTTTAATCGATTAAAGCGACTTTATATCGACTAAAATAACTTGGAAAGTTTTATAAAGAGGTTTTTAAACAAATCAATCGATTGTTTTATACTTAGAAAATGTTTGTAAAGCGTTTTAAGCTGATATAAACATGGTTGTATCAACTAAAACATTTTTCGTTAAAGATCAAGAATGCATTAATGGGTTGAAAGGACTTTTAACAGATTATAACGGCTATTTCAACAGATTAAAACAAACTTTCAACAGATTAATTAATGCAGTAGATTTGAAAATACTCTTTTATAAAGCAGAATTGCTTGGAACTTTTAACGGATCAGATTTGACACAATTCAAGCAATCAATACAAACAACTATTAGCTTTTTCCAAGAAAGATACACAACTGTTTTTGTGAACTTCTTTTGAAATCTTTCTTGAGGCACTTTGCATTTCTTTGAAGAAGAAGCTGACGTGGATTGGTGTAATCCGGTTTGAGCTTTCTTTGTTTCTTCTTTTCAATTTCTATTCATTCTTTTGTACTTGTTTTGTACCTGGAATTTGGGTACAAGTTTTACTGCATTGTGTAGAGGTTGTAGAAGTTTCCAGGAAGCTGGAATTTGGTTCTTGGTGGGAAGGTTGTAAGCAAGAGCTGGAATTTGGTTCTTGTGTGTGGTGCCTGGAATTTGGGCACTTGGTTTCTCTGCTGGTTGGAATTTGGTTGCGAGAGGTTTCCAAGAGCTGGAATTTGGTTCTTGGTGGAGAGTTAGAATAGGTGTAAGAGGGTGAGTCTGTAAAACATCTATTCTAGTGGAACCAGTTGGAATTTGGCTGGAGACTGGACGTAGCCCGGTATTGGGTGAACCGAGTATAAAATTACCGGTGAAATCTTTCCTAACCTTTCTCTCTTTAATTTCGATTCTTTGCGCTTATATTGTTTGATTGCTTGGTAATTCAAAAAGATTTTTAGAAACTTAATTTTCGAATTAGATAATCTGTGTATTGCGAAAAACTTTCAAAAATCAATTCACCCCCCTCTTGATTTAAAACTACTTTTCTAACAATTGGCATCGGAGCGAGGTGCTTGAAAGTTAATCAAGTTACTTCGATCCATGGCATTTTACGAGGGAGCGTGCATTGATAGACCTCCACTTGTTGAGTGGAGCAGATTACCTATATTGGAAAATAAGGATGAAAATCTTCATTGAATCTGTTAGTATAAATGCTTGGAATGTTATTGAGCAGGAAACTGATATTGCTAACGGAATCCAAGATGATTGTATTGCCAAGAATATCATCTTATCCGCCCTTAACAGAGATGATCTTTTCGAGGATTGCACACTGCCAAACTGCTGCACAAATGTGGAAGATCCTTGAAAAGACCTATGAAGAAGCACCGAGAAATATGCTTGATGGTCAACTCGGAATCATCAAAAACCGAGTGTAAGTTCGAATCTATAAACTATAGCTCATTACAAGATGCTTTCTTTGAAATACATGAAGTAGCAAAGAAATTAGAAACTGAAAACGAGAAAATTGAAAAGCATGAATAGGTTACTAGAAAACAAGATCATTATTCTTGAAAAGAAAATAATTGATGAAGAAAAGTTAGAATTAGAAAATAATACTGATTGCATGTGTAATGTTGAAGATTGCAAAAGCGTCACGAGTTACGAAACAAGTATCATACCTAGTAAAAACTTCATCTAAATTAGCACAAGGAAAGAATAATCTTGATAAGATACTTGATTCCCAAAAGTTAGTTATTGAACGTGGTGGTATAGGTTATACACCTGACCATTGGAAAAGAAAACCAGAGCATTCAAAAATTATTTTGCATATAGTAAAACAGTTTCATCTCCATTTATCAAATGTTTCTACTTGCATGAAGAAAGGGCATTCGATAAAATACTTGCGAGAATTAAAAAGTATGCTATTCCTAAAGGGAGAATGAAATGGGTTCCAAAGATTAATTCTTTTCAAATAACATGATCAGGACCCAATAATTATAAAGGGTACCGAGAAAAATACTTAATTGTTTTGCAGGAACAAGTCCGGGAATCCCTTGAAGATCAGAAGCTGCGAAACCAGGTTACGTGTATTTAAATTAATTGTTTTAATTGATATAAATCAATATTAATCGATTAAAATAACTTAATGATATCTGTCCAGTACCATTTTAATCGATTGAAATATCGAAATAATCGATTGAAGCTGATCTCGAGGATTTTGGTTTAATTGTTTTAATCGATTGTAATATCTCGTATATCAACTAAAAACACTTAGGTATCAAAATTAATCGATTCATTTACGTTTTAATCGATTTAAATACTGGTGATATTTTTTTCATTACTGTACCATACAAATCGATTCTTTCATAAAACAATCGATTAATTCACTTGTAGATGTTTACATTTCTCTTAATACTTTACATCGAATGATGCATGGTAATACACTGAAAATCAAAGAAATTATAAAAAAAATGGACTGTAACTTTTCTTATAGACACTAGTTACAAACGAGGTCAAACTGTTAGGATTGAAAACATAGTTTATCATAGATTTTTTCGAGTGATAGTTGATTACTGGTAATAAATTGTTGATTACTAGGAAGTTCAATGAACAAATGTTTACATTAGATTTCTTGATATTACCTAGCAATATTTCTGAAATAATCTTGAGCATGCATTGGTTCAAAACTCTTGGTGAAATTCATTGGAACTGTGCAACTTTGAATATTTGCTTTAATCATCAATGTCACGAGGTGACACTATAAGGGAACCAATCTGGAACGACAATTCAAAAATTGAATAACGTGGTACAGGGAATGTATGTTTTATGGTCGATACTGAGGGATAAATTTTATATTGTTTTAGAATTCGGATTGATTGTCATCACACTGTCCTCATTACTAATCATTGCCCACTCTACCAGAATAAGTTTTTTTAATCACTTGTGCATATGATACCACTGGAAAACAACAAAGTTAAAAATGACTCATTCTTCAAAAGATAATGATGAGCTGGTTCACTATAAGTGAGAATAACACCCATCATACTACATTAATAAAAATACGAGTTATTTGCTTGGATGATGACAACTGCAGGGGTTCAAAATGGGTTTTTAGGAATAAAATGGATGAAAATGGCATAATCACAAGAAATAAAGCCAGATTAGTTGCTAAAGGGTACAATCGAGCAAGAAGGGATAGACTTTGATGAAACATATGCTCCGAGTTGCTAGGTTAGAAGGCTGTTAGATTACTTGCTTGCCTATGCTTCTATTAAAAATTTCGAGGTTGTTCCAAATGGATGTCAAAAGCGCTTTCTTGAATGGATATTTGAATGAAGAAGTTTTTGTCACTCAACCACACTGGGTTTGAAGATCATATTCATCCGAGAATATGTTTACGAGGTTGAAGAAAGCCCTGTATGGTCTCAAACAAGCCCCAAGGCAATGGTATGAAAGGTTAAGTAACTTTCTTATCTCAAAGGGCTATCATAGAGGTTTGGTGGACAAAACTTTGTTTCTAAAGAAACTGAATAATGATATAATTCTGGTTCAAGTTTATGTTGATGACATCATATTTGGTGCTACTAATGAGACTTTATGCAAAGATTTCATGAAAGACATGCAGGGTGAGTTTGAGATGTCAATGATGGGGGAACTTAATTACTTCCTTGGACTGCAAGTCAAACAACTTCAAGAAGGAAGTCTTCTTCATCAATCAAAGTACTTGCACTGAAGCTCGTGAAGAGATTTGAAATGGAACAACGCAAGGAGGCATCAACACCTATGTCAACAAAGCTGCTACCTTGATTCCGATGAAAAAGGGAAATCGTTGATGAAACCAAATATAGGGGGCTTATTGGTTCTTTACTTGTATTTAACGGCTAACGGACTGACATTATGTTCGGTGTACGTATGTGTGCCAGGTTCCAATCTGCACCAAAAGAGTCTCACCTTACTCGCTGCAAAAAGGATCCTCAAGTATCTCAAGGGGACTTTAAATGTTGGGTTATGGTATCCAGGTGAGTCTAAACTGAATTTAGTTGGATATTCGACTCCGATTTTGCGAGTCTGTAAACTTGACGAAAGAGTACCGAGTGGCTTTGTCATCTCCTAGGAAGCGATCTAATCTCTTGGCACGACAAGAAGCGAGTCATGTGTTGCTTTGTCTACGGTGAAGCAGAATATATTCTTTGCTGGCGATTCTTGTGCTCGATCTCTCGGATAAAACAGATGACTTGAGGATTACGGTTTAACCCTCGGGAAAATCCCTCTCTTATGCGATAATACCGGTGCCATAATGCTAACTAAAAATCCAATTCAACATTCTAGAACAAAGCATATAGAAATAAGGCATCATTTTATTAGAGATCATATTCTAAAAGGTGATTGCGAGATCTTTTTTATAGAAACCAAAAAAACAACTAGCAGATATTTTCACAAAACCCCTTGCTAGTGATAGGTTTTTCAAAATTCGCACTGAGTTAGGCATCTTAGACGCATCAAACATTACTTAGAGTGCAAGTCTGGTTGTTTTAGTCAATAATAACACCTTTTAATCGGTTAAATAAACTAAACAACAAATTGCATTACTTTTTTAATCGATTTAAAGTTGAAATAATCGATTGTTTTTTCTAAAAATTCATGTTTTCAAAATCTTAAATGTTTTAATCGATTAAACCTTTCTTTCAATCGATTAAAATCATTTACCAAGAACATTTTAACCGATTATGCTCTGTTTTTAATCGATTTTTATTCTGGGAAGAAAGATTAAAGGCTTTAGTTAATGGTTGTTCCTGTAACATGCTACTAAAGCGTGATTCCCTTATCTTTACACGTGTTAATTGTATTCATTACAAACGTGTTAATGGAGATAAGTTTGAATCAACTTTAATTGATTCTTTTCATGAGTGAAATATTGATTCACTTTGTATTTTCAAAAATTTGAGCATATTTTTCGAAACCTTACATTTTATTCTTTTCTCTTCTATTCCCTATTTTTGATGAAGTCAAAAGGGGGAGAAATAGTTGCATCACTTTAAGATAAATTTAAGTGCAACATTTTAGGGGAGAAATAAGTTTTAGGGGAGAAACAAAACTTTATTACATTCTTGTATTTCTCACCTAACTGCATTATCAAGTGACTTATTTTGCGAGAGATTGTTTTTTCAAAATGGTGTTTGTCTTCATCAAATAGGGGAGACTGAAAGTGATCCTAGCAAAGATCTCATTGATTTGATGAAGTCAAAGATAAAGTCAAAGGTCAACTCGCAACGATCAAACAAGTCACTCGGAAGAATGGAGCTGAAGACTTAGTGTGTCTAAACGAAAGCTTAGGTAAAACCACTTTACCTTTTCCACTCGCATAAAGCTTCTTCACTCAATTTGCAAAATGCCTCAAAAATAGTTTTAAACAAATCAAACAAAAGCATTTTGTCAAAGAACCTTCTTAAAAATGGTTTTAAGCTGATATAGTTTTTTAAAGAAACGTTTAAAACACTTAGAATGTTTATAGAAGTGTTTTCACAGTATTTTAATCGATACAAACTTCTTTTAATCGATTAAAACTCTTTATGACCGATTAGAATTCGAATATAATAGGTCAGAATGCATTATAATCGATCAGATCTTAAATATGAGCGATTAGAATTATTTTAATCGATTAAAACACGTTTCAATCGATTAAAATCACTTTGGATGTCGATATGATCGATCAGAATGAGATTATGACCGATCGAGTTGGTTATGATCGATCGAATTGAATTATGACCGATCAGACTTATTTCAATCGATTAAAACGCATTTCAATCGATTAAAATAACTTAGAAAATCTTTTCAATCGATTAAAACGTATTTCAACCGATTAGAACAACTTAGAAAAATTACATGCAGGTTTTTAATCGATTAAAACGACTTTATATCGACTAAAATAACTTGGAAAGTTTTATAAAGAGGTTTTTAAACAAATCAATCGATTGTTTTATACTTAGAAAATGTTTGTAAAGCGTTTTAACCGATATAAACATGGTTGTATCAACTAAAACATTTTCTCGTTAAAGATCAAGAATGCATTAATGGGTTGAAAGGACTTTTAACAGATTATAACGGCTATTTCAACAGATTAAAACAAACTTTCAACAGATTAATTAATGCAGCAGATTTGAAAATACTCTTTTATAAACGAAATTGCTTGGAACTTTTAACAGATCAGATTTGACACAATTCAAGCAATCAATACAAACAACTATTAGCTTTTTCCAAGAAAGATACACAATCTGTTTTTGTGAACTTCTTTTGAAATCTTTCTTGAGGCACTTTGCATTTCTTTGAAGAAGAAACCGATCGTGGATTGGTGTAATCCGGTTTGAGCTTTCTTTGTTTCTTCTTTTCAATTTCTATTCATTCTTTTGTACTTGTTTTGTACCTGGAATTTGGGTACAAGTTTTCTGCAGTTGTGTAGAGGTTGTAGAAGTTTCCGGGAACTGGAATTTGGTTCTTGGTGGGAAGGTTGTAAGCAAGAGCTGGAATTTGGTTCTTGTGTGTGGTGCCTGGAATTTGGGCACTTGGTTTCTCTCGTGCTGGAATTTGGTTGCGAGAGGTTTCCAAGAGCTGGAATTTGGTTCTTGGTGGAGAGTTAGAATAGGTGTAAGAGGGTGAGTCTCGTAAAACATCTATTCTAGTGGAACCCAGTTGGAATTTGGCTGGAGACTCGGACGTAGCCCTGGTATTGGGTGAACCAAGTATAAAATTACCGGTGAAATCTTTCCTAACCTTTCTCTCTTTAATTTCAGTTGCTGCGCTTATATTGTTTGATTGCTTGGTAATTCAAAAAGATTTTTAGAAACTTAATTTTCGAATTAGATAATCTGTGTATTGCGAAAAACTTTCAAAAATCAATTCACCCCCCCTCTTGATTTAAAACTACTTTTCTAACACATTTGGATGGCGAACACGTTTCATTATTGCAACCTAAAGCAATGCAATAACCACTTCAACATAACTAGCTTCTGCTTTATCACATATAGAAGATGGAAATTGAAGAGGGTTTCATAGATCAAACATCTTATTGTGCATAACTAGTATTGGGTAAAAATACTAGTTTTAAGTATGACAGTGCTGCAGACTATTTTGCACCCACAAACAATGCAACCAACTCGAATAACTAGAGTTTATGACATGCAACAGTATTATACTAGTTGGAGAATTGTAGTGTCTGTAAAGACCAGGGATTGATTTTTACAAATTAATCTCATCGACTGAAAACAGGTGTGTCTATATTTGAACTGAAGAAAGGAATACAGGTGGCCAGCAAGCGAGCACCCAATTGAAATGAAATTCTGCCATGCATGCACGAGTGGAAGACGGGTATATTTAGTTGTGCAAGAAGCATAAATGTTGTATTGAATAACTAAGGCAGTGCCTTGATAAATGTGAATAATTTCCATCCATCCATTAAGATGGGGAAAAAGCTTGGAACAAGCATTCAAATAGGGAAATTGAAAAAATAAGATACACAATCCTCAGGACAAAGATATGATCAATGCCAGTCAACACAAGAAAAATAAGTAATAGTACTTTTAGGAAAGGATTTTTTTCAGAGATAGAAAAGGACAAAGTACATAACAAAAAAAAAGCCAAAGGAATACATTATTGTGATGAGTATAATTGATTATCAGCTTACCCGCCTTAAGTATACCATTTGGATAACATAATAAAGATCATAAGCAATATAAAACAAGAGGCCTGATACATTTCTCTCGTGAATACAAACCTCTCGCAGGAACTCCTTCAACTGATCATCATGGAAATCCTGAACTGTTAAAACCTTCACAGCAACGTCCTGCAATTTATAAAATAATAAATATAATCTCTGAAACATAAATAACTATATTCACGGAGCCAACCAAAGACGAATCGTTAGTTAAATACAATATAATGTAATCACTTTATTTTGGTGGATAACTGCATTCATCCAATTTCCGTAAGACAGTACACGGAATGAAGTAATTGGAAAGCAACATTTATACACTAAAATGGAAATGTCCTAGATAAAATTCAACATGATAAAAAAAAAGTGTATATTAACACGTACTGATCCATGCCATTCAGCACGGTACACTGTCCCGAATGAGCCTGCAAAATGAAAAAGGAAGCTGCAATTAGAGTCATCTCATGGGGAAACGAGTCCACAATACCAAGTTATGCGGATTCAATAAGAACAAGGGAGGCAGATAAATACCAGCCCCAACACGCTCTTTAATCCGTAAATCCTCCCATGATATCTCAAGCCAGTCCATTGCAAGTGACGGTTCAAGATTCACATATCTTGGAATATTCCCAGCAGGTAAACAACACTTGTTTTCAATTCTATTGTCTACCTGTTTCAGTTCTGACTGGCTGGATGAACCCAGTATGGATTGCTTGCGAGTACTTTTCACCACAGAACTTCCATTTACAATGATCTCATTGTTGGAAATTTCTTGTACTTGTACTACATCTTCACTAAGGCTTGGATATTCATGTAATGGTGCTTCAATGGCTAGATGAAGAGCTTTAGAATCATTTTCATGGATGGTAGGCAAAACCGAACTAAGAACTGCACATTCCTCATCATTCCCTTCTAACCCAAAAGAAATTAGAGATTGTTCTGTTCCTTCACAGATTTGATCAACTGAAGAATAAACGGAGTCCTTGTGACTTCTCAGGAAATCAGTTTCTTTAGCTTGTTGAACATTATTTGCACAGCCTGCAGTGCAGATCATTGAATAATGGCTAAGACCAACTTTAAATTAGATTACCATAAATCCTCTATGCTCGTAATAAAATTTACTTTAACAAAACTGCAAAAGCAAAGTTACCCCGTTGTCCCCAAAGGTTTAAAATTTAATTTGAGTCTAGCACGCTTCACAAGCTTGACAAGAAGGAAAAGAAAGGATTTGACAGAAGTGAAGTACTAAAAATAGAGAAAAAAAAATAATAACTAAACACCTGTGGCTCAAACTTAATTCAATGGCCTGAATAGCTTAAGGCAATATAACACCTTACAAGGTTGTGAGACGTCTAATTCAAAAATTAATTGATATATTTTTAGAAATCATACTAATTGGTACAAAAAGAAAATGAGTGGAAATATTGAGACCATACTGCAAATGAGTTTTAAGTAACATGCATCTTGAGGGTCCAAGCACATACTGATGGCTACACTAATTCGTCCCTGTAGTTAAAATACTAACAAGGAATTTGAAGATCAATTTTCCCGATAGGTAAAAAACAACATACCTGAATATGGAAGATTTTCAGGATTAACAGGTCTGTCATTAGAACATATAGATTCAGAACTTGCCATGTCATCCATATAAGGTGATTGTGATTCTTTTAAGTGAGAAATTTGAAACGGGGAGGGCATGGAAGAAACATATGCTCCATTTATTGAGGAATCTGGTCCATGGACATTTCCTGGTTCTCCAACTAGGTCGACCACATATTCCCTGTCAAATGAGAAAACACACCATGATACATATGAAAGTAGGAATTAATGTGAGATGCTTCTGGTAAACAAAGGTATCTACACTAAGTTATCAGTTATATGCCAAAGTCCTGATATGCAAGCAAAAAACAAGAAAAAATAACAATAAAAATCGGGGTTTAAAAGAAAAATGATCAAAACTTCTCATGGAATAAATGTAATTATGTTTATGACTGACAAATATTCAGATTGGAATAACTATAAACACAAAAAAGAGAGCAAAAATGAGGACCGAAGAAGGGTGTTGTACTAACCTTGAGAGCTGCTTGTCATCTTGAATTTTGACTAGGCAAGAGGATCTATGATCTGCAACACAATACTTGCAACCACGAGCAATGCGACAGGGCAAACCTATGTAATCTGCCAATCTCTGCATTCAAAATCCAATTAACAGTGAATAAGTAATCTGTAACAAGCTTATCAAGAAACATTAATACATCCATCTCAGTCGAAAACATCCCCAGGCAAGGCAACACACTAAAGCACCATCTTCACGAATCCTTAATGCTCAACAATGTTCTCGCTCAACTGAAATAATCCTTAATCATAGATAATACACACCCTTCAAAACGATAACTACAGGACCACATTATCTTTTCACCTTAAAAAGAATTGCCCGATGCCTACAAAGCCCAGTAGACAGGCTGCCAATGGGAAGCACAACACACTTGTGAAAATTCCTCAACTTCTTACTAGCCAACTTCCAGCGCTTGTGAAGATCGCCTTGCTCCACCGGGAACATACCCCTTCAAACATACAAATATCACATTAATTAAAAGAAAAAAAAAACAAGTTCGCACTCCATCGAATAAGAGATACTCTGCAACTCTTTCTTACCCCATGTAAATGGCTACCAGTTTCCCTAATTGTTCCACCAACACCAAGGTGTTCTCAGAAGCACAATACAACTCTTGCGCCTTATCTTGAAGCAGCTTCAAGCGAGAGTCCTCGCGTCTATCAACAAGCACCACCTCCATACAAGTCTCGCTGGGCTCAACCGCTTTTAGCGCCATCAAAGTAGGTATCCTTCTACCTTCTTCCACATCATTACACATCACCCAAAGATATGGATTCATCCCCAATATGTTATAAAACCCGTCAGATATCTTGTCCGTATAAGATAAACATCCACTCACCTGAACTCAAAAATAAAGAATCATAATATAAATTATATTCTATATTTGAATATAATGAAAATACCCTTAAAGTTTTCTCCTATTAAAATTAGAGTTATAATTCAATAATTCACGTAAAAAAACATGTGGTTCGCGATATAAAACTCTGATTCGAATAAAAAAAATTTACTAAAAAGAACATAAGAAACTTCATATAAGTTTTATCCAACAATGTTCTGTTTAAAGTCTAAACAATCAAGTGAGTTTTGTACCCATAGGCGGTAAGAAACGGATTCAGCATCCCAGGTTTCGGTTCCTGGAGTGAGAACTGGTTCGGTGACAAGGCTAGCCAAGCAGTTGAGCCTCTTCGCTAACGTGAGTTGCAAGATATAGCTTTCTTTCGACTTCTTCGCCCACTTCTCCGTGCTAAGTTCCTCTTCTTCCTCCTCGTCCTTGTGCCTCGTCGCAGCGATAGTAGTGAGTGTGCGAGAAGACGACGTTTCCTCCTTAATGTCGCTGGAAAAATTGCAATCCAACGTCGTCCCCGAAAACAAGCTTCCTGCATAGCTGCTCCCGCTCGATAGCCTCGGCAGAGAAACCTGCCGGTCGAAGCTCTGGTCAACTGCAGCGTTCTTAACGGTGGTTTCCGGCGGAAGAAGTAGGTCTCCGTCGCCGTCGCGGTGGTGGTGGTCGGAATGGCTGACTTTCTTGTCGATCAACCAATCGCAGAACGCGGCGATCTGCTTGTTTTTGGTCCGGAACTTGTCGCCGGCTTCGAATAGGTCGGAGACGGCGGATTGCTTGGCGGAGGAGAGAACAACGTCGTTATCTTTAGTCGGAAGCGATTTTTTTGGAGTGTCGCTTTCGACGCTACGCGTGTCATGTTTGATTGAGTTTACGATTTTCTTTTTCTCGTGATCTAATAGCGGTTTGGAAGATTCATCCAACCCTCGCTGCGGGAATTGACGCGGGAAAAAGTATGTGGTTCTGTGAGGCATTTCGCTCACCACTTGTTCTCGCAGTCACGAGCCTCTCGCACTTCACAGGCACAGATATTGCACGCACTCACGTGCGAGCCAACGGAATCGCGAACCACTTTTACTTTCCGTCTTCAACGTTACGATCCTCCTCCTCTTCCTCCTTTTAACAACCTCAACCTAGCTCAGTGCAAATTCTCAACCGATTCCACTGTTAACCATGGATAATACGACACTGTTATGGTAAGCTAAATTGCATTCTACTCTTCCGAGTCTGACAACAACGTTCAAAACGAAACCGCGATATCGAGCAATTGAAAAGTTGCAGATAGAATGCGCGATGGATTTCGTGGTTTCTGAATATTATTACAAATTCTTAAGAGCGAAACGAGAAGACGATGATTTCAGGGGTGGGAGGTTGAAGAAGAGCAAGACGAATTGTGAATGTGAGCGATGGTTGTGACTTTTTGACGTTAGTTGTGGTTTTAGCTGCAAGAAACTGTGAAGTTTGTAGCATGGAGTTGAAACTAGGAGTTGGAAAAGGAAAATAATATAAAATCGTATGCTAACCAACACTGGGGTATGGGTGTGCACCATTGTTAAAAGATGACACGTAAAAGTTATGACCAACCGTAGCAGAACACGTAAGGGGAAAGGTGCGCACTGCACACGGGGTATAGTTTAGTATGCTCTGAGGCCGTGGTTTTCTGTAGCATTTCTAAAATTGGGAGCCATGCATTTTCTGCAGACCAATCAGCCTCGAGATGAGAGACAATCATGAATTTATTTATTCACCCTAATATAATATGTTTTTTAAAAATAAAATTAATTTGTTTTTACTCTATTTAATCATTTGACATTAGTAATCTATTTTAGTTAGCATATTTGCATGTATAATAAAATAATATTATAAAAGTTTGTGACAGCAAAAAATGTTAACAAAAACTTAAAATTTAATATATTGAAATAAGAAAATAAATTAATTCTATTTTTTGGGTGAAAATATATTTTATTTTATATTATTATTGATTCATCATGTCAAAAATTTCTACTCACTTTAAATTGTTATTCAGTCAAATTGGATGCAGTTCCATTTGGAAAAACCTACAATATTTTTATAATTACATGTACGCTTGAATCTAGTTTCTGATGCACTAACAATTAAATTAACACATAACAATGTTCTTATTTCCTCGTTTTAATAAAGGAGTTCGATTACTTTAAATTTAAACAAGAGAAAGGAGATGGATAATATTTTGTAATTAAAGAAAAATCTTTTAAAAACACTTTTGATTTAATCAAAGTTTATTTATTTTTCGATTTCCTATTTCGCTTTTGATCAAACACGGTTTCTATATTATTCTTTTGTCTGAATAACATAATCTAAATGTCAAATCGTAAATAGAACTATTATATGTTTTGAATGAACAAAATAGAAAAAAATTATTGAATAACTTAATTAGGAACCGAACTTACTAGTTCACGTAAAGTATTACTATACTTATTATTAAAAAAAATTATAGCATTTATAAAAAAATTATTTTTGTTATAAGTGAAACAAATAATCTAGATGAAATATTTTAAGTGTTTTGATGATATTCTTTAATTAAAATTAAATTTGTCATGTAAATTCAACTCATAAAGTTTTATGACGTGTAAAGATGGTGAATATCTTAAAAATTCATTACAAATATTTATGCTTATTTTGTTAAAATAACATTAAGAAATATTGTTATTTTTAATATTTTTCCCTTGTTCACAGCAATATTCTTTATTTATGTGACGATATTATTATATCATACATGAAAATACAACAGTGAATAAAAAACATGAAAATGTGCGGTGAAAAAAAAAACTACAAATCAATTAATGAAAATATGTTTTTTCTTAATTAAATCTATCATGATTATAAAAAGTTTTATTTAATTTTTTCAGTTTTTTACTCATTTAAATAATAGAGTTTTTTTTTCTTTCCTTTTCTACCAATCTAAACAATATATCTTATATCTATTTTATTGTCATTACTTGTACTTCCTCTAAACAAGTCCCAATTATAAAATGACGCACAGAAGAGACCAGGAGCAAGGAACCTAGACAGCTCATATTTCTCCTGGCGTCATGTTTTCCTTTAAAAAAATAGTGTAATTGTGATGCATCAACTTTTTTTGTGTGTAGTGTTCAAATTTTTCCTTTGGCCTATTTTCACTAGGTATGCGTGATCCTGTCTAACTCTTTATTTAATCAAAGCTTTCCTCTTTTTTCCCTCCCCTATCATGTGCTTTTTCATTTGTAGATTTTGTTTCCCATTTTGTATAGTTTGCATATCCCAAGGTTGACCACGAAAGATGGGAAATCTTATCCAAATTTCGACTAAGTTAATAATTTTTAACGTACCCAGTTGTGAGGCATGTAAGCAGGCCATCACAATTAAACTCATATTTGTATCCCCTGAGTTTAACAAGAAAAATATAAGTTGACTAAGAACGGAAGGATTTATAAGTTTAAATTTTAAAATATTAATATTTTAAAAATATTTTTTTTATTATATATATATATATAAGATTATTTTTTTTTATATTTCACCAATTTTTATTTTTATTTTACCTATTTTTTAATTTTTTAATCTTTTATATTAATTAATTTATTACATTATTCTTTCTTTTACCTTTCAGTTTTTTACATTTCTTTAATTTTTTTCATCAATTTATTTTTTTATTTTTTTCAATATTTTCAATCAATTTGATGAACACAAAGTTAATTTTTTTTATTATTTATCTTTTTTTAAATATTTTACATAAATTTTAGTAGTAATTAATATTATTTTATTTATAATTTATATTTATTAGGTTTTATTATGTCATTTTTTTATCTTATTATTTTTATTTATCATATATCAAATTTTTTCTTAATAAAATAATTATATTTTAAAGAATTAAAGGAAATGATAATTTAAACTTTTATTACTTTAAACTAATTGAATAGACGAGGATGATTAAAAAAGTCGGAGGTGGGGAGGTAAAACTCACCCCGCCCCACCCCCATTGCCATGTCATGCCTATACTGTAACTAGGTTCATCTTCACCATTTGTTTGGATGGGAGATGGGAATGGTGGAAGTGTAAAAATGAAAATAAATTTTATAGAAAAAAATGGAGTATTTGGATTAATGGAAAGAAAATTAAATTTGGGTAACATTTTGTAAGTATAGGTGTGTAATTTGATAAAAGTGCGATGAATGTATTTTTTCGAGTCTAAATTATTCTTATATAATTTTTTTCTATAGGTTAAAAATAGTGAAGATTGATGTAAAAAAAATATATAATAATACATCTTGACGTGAAAAAAAAAAGTTCAAATATTTTTTTAGATTTTTTAAAATATTTTATTCTTTATGTATAGAAAGAGAAATTTTGTATTTCTGGTAAAAAAACAACTTACCTAATTTAATTCTATAAAATTAGGTTGGTAAAGTAAATATTGAATTTATGTATATACTTGTAATATTATTATATCTCTAAGCAATGTAAAAATTCATCATACGCTCTCATCTTAAGGAGTCAATCTTATAAAACTAACCTAATAAGGTAAGAATTATACTTTATCGTATCTATATTCAATGTGTAATGGTTTAAAGATATTATAGATATTGTATACAAAATTCAAATTGTAGCTTACATATTGTTAAGTAATTAAAGTGTTAATCTAAATTTCACATTGAATAAAAAAATAAAAAATAAGTAACATATAAGGAAGAAAAACTTATAACCCAATGATTTAGTGTTTTGAGTTAAAGGTGGTCTCAATCCTTATGTAAGTTGATAACACTCTTTTAAAAATCATATTAGTCTGAACTATTCGATCGGTTGAACCAAGAATCGGACCATAAATCAGTCTCTTGCTTCCAAATAACCAAACTTTAACTAAACCGAACAATTGAACTAAGAATTAGACCAGAAATCAATCTCTTGATTCCATATAATCAAACTTTAATTGAGCCGAAAAATTGAACTAAGAATCGGACCGAAATCGAGTCTCTTGCTTCCAAATAACCAAACTTTAATTGAGCCGAAAAAATCAACTAGATTTTTTTGCCGAACCAATTTTGATAAAAATAAAAATTAGAATCAATTTTTTAATATAATTTTTTCATAAAAAATATAATATTTTAGTTTTTTTATCTTATTAATTATGTGAAATTTAAATAATAGTTAATTTTATTGTATTTTTATTTTATTTTAACAAGTATCCATTTTTCATTCTCTAATATTTTATATTTATAACTTTCATTGTAACTTATGGTAAGTATAACATGTAATCTTTATTATTTTCCTTTTTTTATAGAAAATATTATTATTAATAAACTTATTATATATTTATTATATTATGAACATATTATTTTATTAAATATGATTGAATCCTAGACCAATGTCTTCATCGATTCGGTAACTGGTCTGATTTTAAAAACAATGCTCATTAATGTCGTTTCTCTTTAGTAAATTTGCCCTCGAAAGATTCAATAGTAATATCAACTTATGGTTTGTGTGATGACCGACAATTTAAAAGTGGTTCTTGTATTAGAAATCTTCTAATGGTTCATGTGGTAACCGACTCAGTTGAGTATGATTAAAAGTAAGTGAAAGATCCTATATTAAGAATACTTACGTCGAAAGTATTCCTGACAATATTTTCAGGCAAGCGAGTCCCGTTGAGTTGAATGACGGTACAAGTAAGGTCACTACTGGATACTTACAATTAAGAAATGCTTTTACTCGAGGGGGTAGTGTACTAATGTGAAAGAGAATAACATTTGAGGGAGATATTATTGAGAATTCAAGTGCGGGTATAAAGTCTCACATTGGATATAAATGAGAAAGTTGAGTAGCTTATAAGTGAGAAAGACTCATAACCTAATGCGTTAAAATTTTAGGTTGAAGCTAGTGTCATTTTTTCTTATATGATTGACTCGTGTCCCATTTGTGAGAATCTCCCTGTTGTTAGTTGACATATAATAAAGTAAGGTGT